CGACTATGGACTTAGTGCCTATTGTATAAACCCTGGCGACTATGGACTTAGTGTCTATTGTATAAACCCTGGCGACTATGGACTTAGTGCCTATTATATAAATCCTGGCGACTATGGACTTAGTGCCTATTGTATAAACCCTGGCGACTATGGACTTAGTGTCTATTGTATAAACCCTGGCGACGATGGACTTCGTGCCTATTCATTAGGATAATCCGTGGGAATGAATGAACGAAGAATAGCCGATTCTCAGGGTAGAACCTTAAGAGTAAAGAAGATAATGAGGATGGGTAATTGGGTTGATTGTTTGATGTTTAAACATAATAACTATATTATTGTGGGTTGAAAACCCTATGTGCTCACCAGGTTTCCGAACCTGACCCACTCAAATTATTTGTATCACAGGTTTCGATACGAGGCTATATTACACAGAGAGATTAAATAAGATGCGAATCACTAGTGTAAAAGAACGTAAGGTCTGTTTATGCTTATGTTTCTGTATTGACAATGACATCCCAATGCTTTAAAATGAATAAAATACATTTATTCGGAAATGCTTTGATACGTATTTATCATGTTTTTCTGGGAACAAATTCCGCAACATTTTTCTTTTAAAAGGATACTCTGATTTTCAAAATAAAGCATTAACAAATCGGTCTTTTCTGGCCGTGAAAATGGGGATGTCACAGTAAGCATCATGTGTACCCTATTATCATAACCAAAAACTACCATGGGGACAATTATGCATCTGTTTATATAAAAACAGGCATACAGGTGTGGTGGTATATGGTACTAGTACTTTTTTGGGGCTGGTATCCAACAAACTCCAGCTGGAACAACACCATATGGTACTCCACACAAAGTCATTGATCTTGGTGTCACCCATGTCCCAAAAGATCTCTTTCATATGTATCTAGATGAGATTCTCCCCCGATACACACAAGAAACCTATAGTTTATTGTCACGTAACTGTAAAAACTTTAGCAGTGAAGTCGCACAGTTTCTGGTGGGTGTCTCCATACCAGATTACATCCTCAATCTCCCTAACGAAGTCATGAGTAGCCCAATGGGTGCACTTATATGTAAGTTCCTCATCCTTTTTATCTTTTTAACTTTTCATGTTAAAGATGCATTCGAGCTTTTATGGATTCTTATCTTACACATGACATTTTGTATGAATCATAATGCCTATGATACAGAATTTGGAGACCACATTGAGGGAGGTGATGTCCCATAAGCACCTCAGTTTAAACCATCTCCAGTGAACACAATTCCTCAGGTGTGATAGAAAGTTGATAAACCATCAGAAACCAGCAGCCAAAAAAATGTAAATGTGGCCCCACCCCCACCCCCACCTGTAGTTGTGCCAGTTGGCACATCACAAGAGAAACCAGTTATTGTTGATCCTCTTGGTGATGCAAGGATTAAAGTGCAAGAAGAGATTGGTAAGGAGTTTGCTGCAATGATGTCTAGTTGGACCCTTCGTGCAAGTGAGGCTGCTGCACTTGTAACCAAAAAAGTGATGCAGAAATATGGGCACATGAATGCTGCACAAAACTGAAACAGGTTTTGTGCTTTTTTTTCTTACTTCATATTTGTTGAACATAAAAATTGTGACAATTTATACCATTCAAGAAAAACGTGTTAAATACTCTTTTTTGTTGAATGATGAACTACTTCTATTAAATCCTCTATTTCTTGAAAACTAAAATACGCATTCCATGGGGGCGGGTGTTCTTTTCCATTCCTTGATGAAATGGAATGATATATTATAATTAGAAATTATTTTTAATATATAATTTTCAATAAGAGATATGTTTAAAAAAATCAAAACTTTAGTTAAACAATTTTCATAATTTCCCAAT